CCTCTAACGCTATTCAAAAACAAAGTCACGAAATTTATAGCAGCAATATTTTGGTCTATTAATAATTAAGTGATGAAAATTGAAAAGAAAAGGTCATACCGACTTCCAACCATCAGGATCAAGACATGCAGTAATCTTGGTATCAATGCCAGGTAAAGGTCCAGGTTCTCGGGTAATTACACCCCCACATAGCTCAATTGCTTCTGCAGTTTTATAAACATCGTCTGTGCCTATTGCAATCTGTTCGAAATTCATAATTAGTCGACTTATTCAATTTTATCATGTCAAGCATAACCGAGTTAAAATAATGCTAGGGAAATGAAGAGAGTCTACCTGACCATAAGCATTTCCTTTCTCGTATTCAGTAACACCATAATTGTAGGTCAACTCCAAGACAGTATTTGTATCTTCTGGACCATAGCCCATCATCGCTATTGTATACTGCAGAGAGGACCAAGAGCTCACATCAGTACACAAGGATCTCCAAACGTGCATACACAGAAAGATATGCACACAGCAAATTATGCAACCAGGATATACTAAACATGTTTGGTTAAGCTTAAAAAGGAAGTAGAAGCTACTTTTAAGTAACTTTTGGTCCCAAATTAATTTGGATATATTACTTTTTCTTACTTGTAAGTAAAAACAATTCTTATTTTGAAAGTAATAATTACCTTGCTTTCAAAACAAGTAACTTACTTATTTGAAACTTTGACTAACAAAAAACTCATTTTTTTAAAACTTACCGACTTCCTCATTAACTAAACTTTTTAAGGTTAGCCAAACACGCTTTAATTTTAAATCAAAGACAAACTAGGAATGAATTAAGTGTAAAATGACAATGACTTGTATCAAAATGCAACTACTAGGGGAAAGCTAGCTGTATGACAAAGAATTGGTAAATGAATCACATAGAGATTCCCAACCCCATAAATTAGCAAACTGTTAATCAAATCTGCATTAATTATTAGAGCGCAACATACCAAAAAAAGTGTTGGCGTACTACATCACAAAATCAATTTAAGATTTATAAGTTTGCAACGATTAGGGATGTTCTGATTCTAAATAAGAATGTTAAAAAAGTTAAGTGAGCAAATTAAGAATCACACAACAGAAATCTTTTAACATGTACTGGAAACCAGATGGCACTTTAAAATTGCAACAAAAAGCATCAGGTAAGATACCGGGAAACAGTGGCACACAAGCAAAAGCCTAGACAAAATAAAAATCTCGGGCACGTGACAATTGAAAATTCCAATACTCACACAAGGACAAAATATTTATCACAATCTTCTGACTTCTCTATCAACTTGACCTAATAATGGAAATGTCAGTATTACCTTATATTCAGGATTATCTCGCTTGCGAAGAAGCTCCATGCCAAAGGCCTAA